ACCCCCAATTGGGGCCAAGCCCCCATCTGGCCACAACCACTCCTGCACTCCCCCTTCCCCAGACCCTAGATCTGAGCCTATAAAACACTGAAACCCCCTGCCCTGAGCCCCTCACAGACCCCAACCCAGCTTGTTTAGTATCCCAACACTGCCCAGCCTGGAGCCCCCTCCCCGAGCCAGTGTCCCCTTCTCCACCTCCTCCTGCATCCAGATTTCCTCCCAAAGCTTGCACCTCTCACCCCTTCCCACACCCAAATCCCTCATTCCCACCCCAGAGCCTACACATCCTGTCTCAACACAGCAAGGGTCCAGCTAGACTGCAGGAGTTTTTCAGGATTCTGGAGATATCCCAGAAAAACTCTTCTGCATCCAGGGTTGCGTTTGTTCTTCTGCTTTTTTAGTGGAAGAGCAAACAGGCTCTTTTGGTCACCCCTATATTCCTCTTTCCACAAGGAATAAGGTGGCTTCCAAAAGAAGGGTTTTTTTTTCTGACATTTGGTCCAGTATACACACGCCAAATGTTGGAAAAACCTCTTCCTACAGAATAATAATAAAAAAATAAATAAGCAGCAGTATAAGGAATGGGGATAGCAAGTGATGGAGAGGAGGCGAATAGAGAGGGCAGGGCTTCAAGGAAGGGGCGGGGCGGTAGATCTTGGCTTGGTCTGTCATTTAAAAAGTGATCTTGGGTGTAAAAAGGTTGGAGACCACTGGTCTATAAGGTGCCACAGGACTTCTCGTTGTTTATGTAGATAAAGCCTGTAATTCCTGTTGTTAATCATGGGACAGGACAATTGTAGAATAAAACTCATATTTTACAACTCCTGGCTCCACCTTCTCCTCCAAGCGTATTGCACCCTTGCTCCTACCCTCCCCCACAGAGTCTCCTGAGTGCCATGAAAAAGCTGATTGCAGTGGGCAGGAGGCGTGGGGAAGGAAGAGGAGGCACTGATCAGTGGGGCTGCTGGTGGGAAAAAGATACTGGAGATGACAGAGGAGGCACCTGATGGGGACCGCTGACAAATTACTGTAGCTATTTGGCAATGTACATTGGTAAACTGTGGCTCCTTCTCAGGCTCAGGTTGTTTTAGACTAATTAAATGCACATTTCAATTAAGCAGGATCATATCTTTGTCTCCTATGGAATCAGCGAAAAGTTCTACGTAATTTGTAAAAGGAAAATGAGTTTAAGCAAAATGTTTAAAACTTATATTTTTAAACAGATTGAGGATCCACTGGCTATTCTCATACTGTTTGACGAAGCCAGATATAATTTGCTAAAAGGCTTCTATACTTCACCTGATGCTAAACTGATCACACTGGCAAGTCTTTTGCTGCAAATAGTCTATGGAAATTATGAGAGTAAGAAACACAAACAAGGTTTCCTAAAGTGAGTATTTAAACTGAGATTTTGTTTTTAGTATGACTTTTTTTTTTTTTTTTCAAACAAGTCCTAAACTGTTTCAGCTATGTCCAGGTAAACTGCAGGTGTGTTGTATTAACTAGAAATGAAATGATGAAATTGCACAGCAGCCATTTTTATTTTAATGAAGCAGGGATTATTTAAATCCCTGTTTCATTGACTATGCCGGGTAAACTATTTTACATGGCTTCGTTGACGGAGCCATGTAGTCTAGATGTACCCCAAGAGTATGGTGTACCTATCTGTGGACACCCCAGTTCCATTACCTGTCCTCCATGACCTGCTCACTACGGACCATGGGCTCCTTCTCCACCCAGATCTCTAGTCCCTCCACCTCATGGCTTGGAAACTTCATGGTTAAATCCTATGGAGCTGCTGTTCTCTGAACCAAAAAGGAAAGTCCTACTTGGCAGCATGAAACTGTCCACAAGGGCCACTTACCTGGATAAGTGGAAAAGGTTCACTTGTTGGTGTGTGCAACAACACACACCTCTATTCTAAATGCCTATACTAATCATTACAGAGTACCTCTTACACCTAAAACAACAAGATCTGGCAGCATCTTCTGTTGTTTTTCCACCCTGCTGCCATCTTGGCAGAGTGTCTGGATGCTTTGTATTTGCTAACCCCATGGTGGTACACTTTCGCAAGTGGACTCCAGATTAGGCTGGCAATTCCTGATTGGGTCCTAATCATGATCCTCTCCAAAATCATGGGGGCCTCATTCAAACCCCTAGTGACTTGCTCCCTTCTCTATCGATTGTGGAAGGTAGCCTTTCTGTTTGCCATTACCTCGGCAAGGAAAGTGTCTGAGTTGAAGGCCCTCACATCCAATCGACCATACAGTCTTATATATCTTATCCTTGCGGTTTAGGCCTCACCCAGCTTTTCTGCCCAAGTTTGGGTCACATTTTCATACAAGCCAAGACATATTTCTTTCCTTTGTCTACCCTAACCCTAATTCCAGTAACCATGAGCAGAGACTGCACTCTCTAGCTGTTCAGTGGGCACTGGCCTTCTAAAGAGAGCTCACTAAGCTAGTTCTGTAAATCAAACCAACTATTTATAGTGATGGCAGACCAGATGAAAGTTCTTCCAGTATCATTGTAAAGAATATCTTCCTGGATCACATCTTGCATCCATTCGTGCTGGGCTGGCAAAGATCCCAGCCCCGGCAATCACAGCACATTCTACAAGGATACTGGCCTCAGTGATGGCATTCCTAGCCCAGGTCCCAATATAAGAACTCTGCAGAGCAGCGAGTTAGTCCTCAGTACATACATTTACATAGTCCAGTATGTCAGAGAGGATGCAGGTTTTGGCAGAGCAGTGCGCCAATCTGCTATTCCATAACTCTGACCTCACTCTGTCTGGGTAAGGCTTTGGAGTCATCTAGCTGGAATCGATATGAACAGTCAGTGGAAGAAGAAAAAACAGTTTCCTTCTCATAACTGTTGTTCTTTGAGATGTCTTGCTTATATTCATTTCAGAACCACTCACCTTCCCCTCTGTTGGAGTAACCAGCAAGAAGGAAGTGAGGAAACACTGTAGGTACGTCTAGACTACATGCCTCTGTCGCCAGAGGCATGTAGATTAGGCTACCAGACATAGGAAAATGAAGCGGCGATTTAAATAATCGCCGCTTCATTTTCCTATGTCTGGTAGCCTAATCTACATGCCTCTGGCGACAGAGGCATGTAGTCTAGACGTACCCTGTGTCAACAGGGTTGTAGAGTGATATAGAGGTTCTATTCCAGGGAGGCCTCACAACTGACCCAGTGGATGCTCAGGATGTGAATGGGTAACCAGTTACCCAGTAAGCATCTTCTTAACCAGTTATGGGTAAGCATCTCCCAGTAATCTGGCAGCTCTGGCGGGGTACCAGTTCCATCCAAGGGGATCCCACTTAATCAGTTAACCAGTTAAATATAACATTTAACTGGTTAACTGATTAAATGGGATTTTACATCCCAAATGGGTGCTGCTAAGGAGAAAACTTTCCAAAAACTGTGCACGCAACATGTGCACATTTAATTGGAATGGACATGGGCAACATACCTCAAAGAACAACAGTTAGGAGAAAGTGGGTAACTGTTCTGCAGAGTCAACTAGCTGCACACAACCTAAGGATTAATCTTGATCAGTGGGAAACCTTGGCTGCCTCTTTTCAGCTGCTGAGATGACAAGAAAGCAGCTTGAATTGGGACTGACAATCTATGCTAATAATTAATAGTTAAAGGTATTAGTATTGCCATACTGGAAGATACTGCCTTCTGTCCTGTACTTTGCTCATTGATGGAAGGAAAACTAGGTAATATTTTCACTTTTTTCCTTTCAGTGAAGAAAATCTTAAATCTATAGTACCCATCACCAAACTAAAAAGTAAGGCTCCTCACTGGACAAATAGAATACTTCATGAATACAAGGTAAGAACATTTTGGAAATCCTTCTTTAAATGGTTAGTTATTGTTTCTTCCATTTTCTGTTATTGTTATGCATTTCTAAAAATAGTAATATATAGCCAGAAACGTAGGAAGGCTAAAAATTGATAGTGAACCATTCTTTTTACAGATTCAGTAGTCCATTTTTTATATTCAACTATTTGGTGTCCAGGAGGTGGGCGGGCATTAGCCCGCCCACATCTAAAGGACCTCCCCCCAGCCTGCGGGGAGAGTCCACAGAACCTGGAAAAAACCAACTAATTACTGGGGACAAATAATGAAAAAACAGGTACGGGTGTGAGGGTCAAAGGGTTAAAATGAGGGAACCGGATGGGGATACCAAGCAGAAAACCCCGGACAGCGCCCACTGCCCCCTGAAGGTCTCGAGAGAGCCAGCGGACGCTGCCCATTAGAATTCTGCCCGGATACGTGAGCGGATGCAGCAACGGAAATAGGCTCCACAATTGCAGGCCCCTCCCCTGGCCAACCTCTTCTCCCTGGTTTTGTAGATTGCCCATTTGGACATAGCCAGGAAGAGATTGACCAGGAGGTCCCGTGACTTTGTGGGGCCACGGATGGGATGTGTGTAAATTAACAAGTGGGGGGGAAAAGTGCAGCCAGAACCTCAACAGGAGGTTCTGGAGGAGCCGAAAGAGGGGCTGTATCCTGGAGCACTCGATGTAGATGTGTGCCAGGGTCTCCCTCACACCACAGAAGAGGCACGGTTCGGAGGTGGAGGTGAACCGTGCCAAGTACACACCCGTGCTCACCGTGCCTTGCAGGATTCTCCAGCAGATGACCCCGGTGGGCCGTGGATTTTTTATATTCAAGTAAAATATAATGTAACTTGAAAAACATATTTTAATACTGAGCTGTTTTTAACATTCTGATAATAAAATTAAAAGTTGGTGTGTCAGTAAATTGAGTTGTTGAAGTCATAATCTGGGTGGTTGTTTTTATTTTTATTTTTATTTTTTATTTTGATGACAGCCAGCTAACTGTCTCCTTTGGTATATATGGTTGTGACTATTTTCTTCCACTATTTTATCTGAGGAAGTGGGTCTGGCCCACGAAAGCTCATCATCTAATAAACCATCTTGTTAGTCTTTAAAGTGCTACATAGTCCTGTATTTTGTTTCAGCCAGCTAACTGTATTTAAAGGGACACTGTCAATTCAGTTTAGGCATGAAGTATAAGTCAGAAGAGTGTTAAGTTTATGAAACCTAATAGAAATGTTGTCATCACTTTTTTGTAAACAGTTCTGAAATTCCGACATATTAAAATCGGTTGTCATGTGTTTATCTGAATGATCATTTAATTTTACCAAAGTCAATTGATAGCCAACTCCAGGTGGCCATCTGGAATTCAGATTCCACAAAGTAAAACAAATCAGTCTTTTGATGACTCACTCAAAAGGTATAGTCAGTGTTAGGTCACTGATCAGGCCAAGCTTTTGAATTAAGACAAGGAAGATCATTACTCATTTTTTCTCCCTGTTCACCCAGAACTGCACCCAAAAAAGCCAATCCTTTTTACCTTCCCTACGAGGCCCTATTGGATTCCCAGCCCTTCTCGTTACTGGAGGACCAATTCGCATTGGTTCCACTAGCAGCTAATCGAAGGCGACCTCTCTACACACTCTTAGGTCTGAACTCACTCAAAGGGAACATTTTTGGGTGCAGTTAACAAGAGTTGTAGGGCTCTAGCAGGGAGCATCAAATGCCTGATGCATTCCATCACAGTGCTATTAAGCTGTTAGTGGCATTAGATGTGACATCTTAGATGACTGCCAGGAAAAGCCCTTCAAGAAAACCAGCTACCACTTTACTCTATTTGAGGAATGTGCATTGTTAATACAGTTTCTTGTGTAATTTATTTGCTCTTCTATTTCTAGAGTCTCAGCACTAGTGAAGGCGTGAGTAAAGAGATGCATCACCTGCAACGCATGTTCTTGCAGAACTGCTGGGAAATTCCTACCTATGGAGCTGCTTTTTTCACAGGACAAGTATTCACCAAGGCGAGTTCAAGCAGTCATAAAGTTATCAGAGTGTACGTTGGAGTAAATGTAAAAGGACTGCATCTCTTAAATATGGAAACCAAGGTGAGGGTTAGCAGTTTTTACTAGCAATTTACATAGAAGTTAAGAGCACGTGGAGATTACTAGATGCTGGTGATTTACTTTGTCTGGTATTGAAGTAAAATCTTGTATGCCTTTACAATCAATATGTCAAGTTTAAAATCTCTTTAAAATATTGGAATTTCAGCTTCAAATTCTTAGTATTGGAAATCCTAATATTGGCAGGTAATCATTTAGAATTCAGTGTTGTGTATGCTGTACCCTTAAACTGGATACCAGAACCTTATTTAGACAAAGTGGAGAAAGTTCTCAATATAGTTCAGAAAGTATTCTCAACATTTTGTACTTTTCACTGCAGGGTTTGCTCATCAGTCTAAAGTATGGTTGCTTTATGTGGCAATTAGGAGATGCAGATACCTGTTTTCAAATCCATAGTCTGGAAAACAAGATGAGCTTTATAGTGCATACCAAACAGGTAAGCATTGAAAAAATGTAGTCAAATACTGCAATTCTATTAGAATTATTTGAGGGAGTAAACAAACATGGGCAAAAGTGATTCAGTGCATGCAGGGTACTTGAATATTCAGAAAGCCTTTGACAAGTTCCCTCATCAATGGCTCGCATGTCAAGTAAGCCAACATGCTTGGTGCAGGTCACAACAGAAAAAATGCCAAACTAAGGACAGACTGATAAAAAGAACACAGCAATCACACCCAAAACTGGTGGTTATTATAACATTAGAGTTCATTAAGTCAGCAACAAAAATGAACTGCTGTATCTTCATGTGGATTAACAAGAAGCCAAAATCCAGCCCCTATCACCACTCTATCTGATCTTTATGATGAGAGATTACTGTAAACCATATAAAAAAATCAGCCACTCCCTCAAGTCAAAATATATACTTTAAATCTTACCAAATACCACACTTATAAACAATGCTTTAGTAATTAAAAAGCTAATGGTTTATTAATAAAAATAAGAGAGTTATTAATGGTGAAAGGAATAATATATTTCAAGTAACATCATAGTCTATAGATGAGGATCATAGCAGTGAAGGTAAATCTGCTATCTTGTAATAAATCTCTCTAGTTCACTCATTAGATTGATGACCCACTAGTCCATTGTCTGAAGCACTCCTTTATTAGAAATCATGTGCAAAGATGTGCAGGAATGAAGACATAGAAGTGATGTCACAGTCTCCTTTTATACTTTAGGCCAAATGCATGGAAAATTACAAGCAAAAGATCAAGTCTTAGATCGCATGTCCTTATATGCTTTGCAGTGGATGCCTCATGATTCAGACTCAGTGATCTCTGAAACGTCTCCAGGAGTGGATCAGTGGGCAAGCTGATTGTCTTTAACAGGCCATTAAGCAGGCTGACTAGTCTAGATTTTAAAGTCTAGTCTAGATTTTAACAAGGTTAAAAAAAGAGAGAGATTCATGGAGATTAGGTCCATCAGTGGCTATTAGCCAGGATGGATAGGCATGGTATCCCTAGCCTTTGTTTCTCGGAGGGTGACTGACAGGAGAGGGCTCACATGAGGATTACCTGTTATGATTCCTTCCTCTTGGGCATCTGGTATTGGCCACTGTCGGCAGACAGGATACTGGGCTAGATTGACCTTTGGTCTGATCCAGTATGGTCGTTCTTATGTGTAACCCTTCGGCCGGTACCAGGCGGCAACCAGAAGGGCTGGGTTCAATGTCTGGGGGGGCCCTTCAACAAGGTGACTAAAACTGGCTCGAGCTCCCACCCAGTAAACTGGGAAAATTCCAACCTACCCGCTGGGTGCCTTTAGAGGCAATTCTTCCTCTCTCGCAAGCACAGTCAGAAACAGAAACAGTCTGTTTAATCACAGTAGATGAACATCAACCCACAAGACCACACAAACAATGAAAAACCCATAACACGAACAACCTGTGAGTAAGGTACCATCCCCAGGGTCTGCAGAGTGAAGTCTTTTTTCCTAGAGGTCTTTAGTCCAACCCCACTGCAAACACCCCCACTTATAGCTCTGTCCAGTCAGTGCCGACCCAGACGCATCACCCTCATGACTCCCCCCTTGGAGCCTGATGTGATGCCACTGTATTGCCCTGGTTGTCCGCCAGTTGTTCCCACCACCTGCTCCGCTGGCCATCTGCCACCGCTCCTACTGGTCGCTCCCGCCAGCCACTGCACTGGCCACCTGCCACCGCTCCCGCCAGCCGCTCCACTGGCTGGCCGGCCCCCTGTCTACTGGCTTCAATGGGTCTGGCTCCAGACCAAACCAGTGACTTTAGCTCTTAGTGATTTCAACTGTTTAGACGCCACCTAGGCTGGCAAAAGATTCCAGCTTCCACTGGACTAGCAAAAAGACTCCTCATGGAGTCTGCTTTAGGTCTATCCTTAAAACAAGGGGGAAAGAGGCAGGTTGAACCAGTCTTACAGCTCACACTTGGCAATCATGAGCAGGCTGGGTCAAGCCCTTTCCCCTCAGCCCTGTATACTGAACTCTGGAAGGGGAAGCTTGTTCATCTGAGACCTCTTCCAATTGTGTCGCTCCTGCAAGCACTAGTGTCATATTTTACAGTTCCCACATTTATTGGTAGCATGACTCGTGACCCCCCCCACAACAGCCCAAATTAATTACAATACATCACATTCCATTCCAACACTGATCCTCCATCAGCCCAGGCTGAATTGGATTTACATACTCACACCTCGGATTCCTTCCCCCTCTTAGCATGAGCTGTATTTACATATCAACAGATAACAGTTAATTATCTTGCAGAGCTAAACAATTTGAGTGAGCACACCCACTCCCAGGGCAGCTCTCTCCTTTTAGCTAGCTGATAGCAAGCAGTGGTTTAGCCCCTGCTTACATACATATGTTAAAATCAAATCTGTCGAGGCATCACTCAAGAAACATGTTTGATATACAAAAACACAGCAGATATTCATAACTTCATCTACAAAGATGATAGTATGGATTTAAATGGACAGTAATACAGGTTGAGCCCCTCTAGTCCAGCAGTCTCTGATCTGGAAACATCTGTGAGCTGGCATGATTTTAGTTAGCCAGATGTTCACTTACATGGGCATGGCCAAGTTTCCTGTAGTCCCATAAAGTTTGTTTACAGCCACTAAAAGAAAAAAAAGATAAGTCCACAGAGGATAGATGCCCCTCTGAGTGTCTCTGAAACTCTTTCTATCAAAAGCTGGGACTGGTTGACAAGGGATGGATCATTTCATAGATTAACGTGTTCTGTTCATTCCCACTGAATCATCCGATACTGGTCGCTATTTAGTACGTCAGGGCTAGATAGACTATTGGTTTGAGCCAGTGTGGTCATTTTTGTGTTCTTATGTAAAAATTGCAGTATCAAAAGCAATCTGTAATCCTTCCTGAATCCAGTTAAAATAATTATAAATTGAAGAATAAAGGCAAGGGAGATTTGCTTGGTGAAATGTTATTGATTTCTGCAATCTAGGATATTTATGCATAAAAATGTGTTTCAGCCATACCAATTTACTGTGGCATTAAAATTGGAGTCTCTAATCCCAAGAAGCCATATACTATTAGAAGAATGAAAAGAACATGACTGTTTCACATTTGATCTAGAAAAACCTTTGCAAAATAGAAAAGCAATAAAAATGTTTCTGTTAATTTTAAAATTCAGTATAAATGACTGTTTAAAAACATTGCTTTGTACTTTGCAAATCAAACACTGCTCCACTGAGAACCTGACAGCAAAAAAGACTGACCATGAAAAGAGCTAAAGTAAAGGAGACTTAATTGATTTTCATTTCACTGAGAGAAATAGTGGAAAATGAACATAATTTCTAAAACTCAATTTTAATAATCTAAAACGGGGTGGGACCCTTTTTTGGGTTGGGGGCTGCTGACCCACAGAAAAATCTGTCGGTCGGCTGCTCACAAGTGAGAAGCAAAAATTAAAAAAAAAAAAAAAAGCCTCACTGATGTGGCCCATGACTGAGAAGTAGAAAGACACTTGCCACGTTCCCTTCGCACACCAGAGCTGTGGGGGGCCCAGACTAGTAGATGTTGTGTGCTCCAGCTCTGTAGTGAGGCAGTAGGAGGCTGGAATGCCAACACAGGCTCCCCAATGCTGCGGGGAGCCCCCAGGCCTGAGGTTCCCCACCCTTGATCTAAAATGTTAGCAACAGAGGTGAATAAATGTGTTAACTCTATATTTAAGTAGGCTTTGGAGATTGTATGTGTTAACTGGAAAATCCTGATACAACTTTTTCATTTTTTCCCCTATATGTAGGCAGGTCTTGTCATAAAACTGCTGATGAAATTAAATAGCCAGCTAATGTCTTCTGAACGAAATGAATGACAGCAATGGACAGTGGTTATGTAACTGTGTTTTAATTAAACAGAAATCACAATTTTCATGGAAAAAGAAGCCTTTCATGTGCATGAAAGTTTCTCAGAATGAAATCTGTTGTGAAATGTGTATAGACTTTGTACAGAAGCTGCATGGGTTATTTTTTTAAAAGTATGTAACATATCTATTTTTATAAAGAGATTTTCTTCCATATAAGCTATTCTAATTTTTTAACTAAGACACAAGAACAAAGATATTGAGATGAAAAGGGGATATACTAAATAAATAAAGTTTGTGCTTGTTCTTAACTGATTATGGAGGATTCAGAGTGCCTTAAACCAATTCCTAATGTATCTGTTTATTAATCTATAGGTTGAACCTCTCTAGTCCGGCATCCTTGGGACTTGACTAGTGCCAAACCATAGGAGGTCAATATTGTCTAGCTGCATTAACAAAATTTTCATTGTTTACTGCTTATTGGGCTCTTAGAAGACATTTAGGGGTAAATTAGAGCTAAATAACAGCACAGAACACTGAGAGCCAGGACTAGTGGCTATAAACAAACATAATGGGATCGTGGGAAATTTGGCCATACCCAGAATAAGTGGTCTCAGGGGTATCCGTGTTATCTGTAACTTTAAAAACAAGTAGTCCTCCAGCACCTTAGAGACTAACAAAAATGTAAATAGTATCATTTCATGAGCAAAATCACTTCTTCAGATGAGCATGAAAAGTAGATATCTGGCTAACTAAAATTATGATGGACCAGAGAGTGTCGGACTAGAGAGGTTCAATCTGTCAAATTAACGTTTAATAGGCAACCTGCTCTCTAAAGGGATGCAAAAGTGTTCCCAGATATATTTAGTAAAGTTCTGCTCCACCTCAATTAGACTACCAAAGGGTCCCATGTGATCCTGTCAGTTTCAGTGTTCTTCATTTGATGGTCAGTACATTTTATAGTGAAGACTTTATTTCGGCTTCAAATAAAATATTTATCTTTTGTACAAGTATTATTTTAGAATATCTCTACATTTTTATCTATAAAAATGCTTGTACTAGAGATGTAATAGTGTATCTGGTTAAACAGTTAACCAATAAGCAGATGATTATTGGTTAATGTTACCAGCTACACACAAACACCACCATCCCGGGCTCTGCATTTGAAGTATTTTGGGAGCCTGCATACAGGCAGATTGCTTCAGTCCTGGCTTGTGCAGAGTCCCAGCTACTCCCACTGTGGCTCTGCATTTAAAGTATTTTGGGAGCTGACCTACCTGCCTACCAGCTCCAAAATATTTTAAATGTAGATCTGCAGTGGGGGTAGCTTCCAGGACTTGGAATGAGCCAGGACTGAGCCAGCCTGATCACATGGTGGCTCCCAAACTCCTTTAAATGCGGAACCACTTATCGGGTAATAGTGTAACCAACAAAAATTTTGTCAGCTACATAGTTACTGGATTACACACTTCCTAACATCCCTAGTTTGTACAATACTTCCCTTATATTGAAGCTTCAGAGGAGTAGCCGAGTTAGTCTGTAACTGGAAAAACTTAAAAAACAATTAATGGTCTTAGCACCTTAAAGTTACCTTCAATATAAGACATTTATATTACGTTTAATTACTGGATTGCAACCAAGGTGGTTGAATTGATTTAAATCAAGGCAATTTAAATCACCAAAAACAATTGTTGATTTAAATCAAGTTAAGAAAGAGAGAGAGAGAGAAAAGAAATAAGACTATGCTTAGAATGCCCTTAATTTTGGAGTAAGCCCAAATTTTGGACCACTTTTGAAGCTGTCAAAATCTGTCCTAAACAACCAAATGTACATTTGCTTCTCAGATACATATTTTAATCTGCCTGTTGCATATTAATTAGGTTTATTTTAATGAACAGTATGGTATGAACATTTTAAATCATTACATGGAGTATGAAATATTTTATACCATGAACTACTACCCTGTTGTACTAACCCCTGAACTTTCAAGGCAGTGCTGTAGGGTTTTAACTGCAGCTCCCTCTGAATTCAATGGGAACTATATGGCTAAAAACATTCAGTATTTTATAGTAAAGTTAAATATTCATATTTGCCTCTAAAATGAGTTATACAATTAAATGCCAGGCACTGTAGCACTTTGCAGTACTTTCATCTTTGCATTCAAAATCTAAAATCCAAAACCAGTACATTTTAACAAATTATAAAGTACTAGGTGGGAAGTTTTTAAAAATGCATGCAGGAAAAAAATCTGCTATAGAATTTTCTTTAAAGCCATATCTGTGCTACGTGAGCTTCGTTGGCATGCAGATACTTGTAAATCTTCCTAGATTGTTTGTATTGTCTTTTATCAGAAGTGAATAGTACAGCAGATGCTAAATTAATTCATAACTATCACTTGATTTTAATATCAGAATATACTTTTTTATAACAGGCACTTGTTAGAAACTAGAAGTATGTGATGTTACAAATTGTATATAAAAATTAATGTCAAGTTGCATATTTAACAATAAAATGAATAAACTTCACTGATATATATTATTTATTACTATCAAATAAATTACTTGTTTGCAAAAATGTACAAGTTTACTACCTTTTAAATATACCAGCTAATATGAAATGTGCATTTTAAAATAAATATTGGGCAACTTAACCCAACACACACTATTTCTCATATTCGGAAGTACTTTGGGAGCCTCCCTCTGGTCATTTGTAGTACAGCGTAATTCAGAGTTTCTCAAACTGTGGGTCGTGACCACCCAGGGGGGCCTGCAAGCAACTTAGAGGGGGGTCGCAGCTGGATTCAGTTTTTCCCTTGTGATCCCTCTGCCCCGGGCCGAGAAGAGCAGATGGGCGGCAGAAGGCAGCCGCTGGCAGGCCACACAGCGTGGCTGGGGCCATGGGAATCCAGGAGTGCGGCTCAGCTGCAGGAGGAGGCAAGGCAGCAGGAGAGTGAGGCTGGTGCCAGCGCAGGAGCTGGCGCGCAAGAGGCCGGCCAGGGCACAGTTGCCGGGCAACCAAACACGTCCCCAGCTGGGAGAGGGTGGGGTTCCTCAGGCAGTGGACTGGGGGATTGGGTCAGGAAAGAGGATCCAGAGGTAAATAAGGGCACGTGGAGTCAGAGGAGAGACAGGAGTGGAATGGAGGGGAGAGGAGAGGAGAGAAGGAATGAACCAAAGGGATGCGGAGAGAAAAAGAGGCACAGAGGAGAGAGAGACGGGGGAAGGAGCCTGCAGGGGGAAGGGCATTGAGGACCGCAAATGCCTTGAAGGAACCCCAGGAGGGTAAGGAGTCTGGTGAGAAGGGGGGAGAGGAAGCGACCCAGGGAAGTGGGGGTGGAGGGGTCACAAATTCATTTAACATTTTAGGGGGTCGCGGTATCACACAGTTTGAGAACCTCTGGTGTAATTTATACAAACAGAGTATATGACTAGTATGCTGTTTCCTATCATAGACTCGTAGGATTGGAAAGGATCCTATATTACACAGGATGTTTGGACCCAACCAACCATTACATGAGAATATCCAGTATCTTACAGACTGGAAAAAAAAATGTAACAGAAAATTCAGTGTTCAGATCATCAATATAAACCATTGATATTTGTGTGCTATACAATACCGTTTGTTGTCTAGACCTAATACAATAGGCATTAGTGCTAATATTCACACTTTCACAGTAGGCAGACACGGTGTTATTGGAAAGACAGTGGGCTATTTCTACATTTCCTTACTTTCAAATCAGTGGTGTGGGCAAGGAGGGTGCAAGTCAGGGCACAGGTGCTGCCCCCAATCAGTGGAGGCCCAAAACTCCTCCAGGCAGGAAGAGCTAGCTCTTCCAGCCTGGCTGGGATGGGAGATTACAGCTCCTTCAGCCCTGGAGCTGCTGGGGGACATCCAGCTTCTGCAGACTAAGACTTACAGGAGTGGAGATCCAGCTACAGAGGAGAAAGCCAGGTCCACTGGCACCAGGCAGAACCAGCATCTCCAGCCAATGGGGCACAAAGTTCAAAAGTGGCCACATGTAAATCTTGTGCCCATCCCTGTTCCACATTAAATCTGTGTAGGAGCTGTTCTATAACACAACCTAATGCCTAGACCAATTTGCATTAAAGTCAGTGGGAGGTTTTCCAATCTATTTAAATGGGATTTGGATCTGGCCCAATTATACATGAGCAACAGAAAACCACCCATTTATCATGCTGATCATGTTCTGCAAGTTACGTGAACTGTTTCTGGTTGGTTGCTGTCATGTGGTCAGTTCCAGTAAGGTCACATGTAATGCTGAAATAAGATGGGATGGTTATTTCAGTAAAGGATAACATACTAAAAATTAATATTCCAAACACTATTTTACCTCACTTTTTAATTCCTAAATTGAACCATAGCCAGCCACAACTTTTTTCTCCATTAGGGTGATGAGTTTTCTGTGCATTATGAGCCTCTGCACTGTTTATATTGTGTAATTTACAACTGCGGTTACGGTTGTTTATATTAACAACCATATGGAATTGTTTATATTAACTTATAGAGTTGAAGGCTATGTAAGTTATAATTACGGAGTTGTAAACAAAGCAATACTCATGGGAAAAATCCTGGGCTGGGAACTTTCATCAGTGTTGTGAAACATTTTAAATGCTCTGTCAAAACCACAATAATTTCAAGTTCTTTATTAGCATTTTTCTGCTCATCTGCTGTGAGCACTCACACAAGAGTGTTCTCCTAAGAGAGAAGTTAGTAATGCAACATTTTAGGGGGAAATGGACAAAACGTCTGTGAATTTCACTTTTTTCCAACTAGTCGCACAAGGAAGTGGTGTTGAAGAAAGAGGATGCCAGTGGAATTGAAAAAGGAAATACTCCCAATTGCAGCAGCTTCTCTTCCATGTTGTACTTCATTGTCACTCGGTAAAGGCCTGACTCCTGTTTGTCCAGTTAGTAATGCAACATTTTAGGGGGAAATGGACAAAACGTCTGTGAATTTCACTTTTTTCCAACTAGTCGCACAAGGAAGTGGTGTTGAAGAAAGAGGATGCCAGTGGAATTGAAAAAGGAAATACTCCCAATTGCAGCAGCTTCTCTTCCATGTTGTACTTCATTGTCACTCGGTAAAGGCCTGACTCCTGTTTGTCCTCAGAGAGCCCCCAAGGCTCTGCATTTGCTCCACGCTTCAGTTCAGCAG